ATGCCTTAGGCAAGCTGGCTAGCTAGACTACATGGTCAGGAAGCTCTTGATTTTACCAGAAGCCCTGTCCCAATAAATAACATGGAGGGCAATCAAGGAAGATGCTCTGTGTCAACTCCCACAAGTGCGCCTGTGCATATATCTGAAGACAGATATAGACTTGCACACCACTCATACATTACCACCTGGGCTGCAAAGTATGTCTCACACCAGGCAGATATGACTTCCCAGGGAGATGTGAAGGAATGTCTATTCACTCCCAATAGAGTGGATACCAAACAATCCCAAGAAGGATTTCTCTCACGTCCAGATTGCAGATTCAGTTGGTGCAGAGCAGTGATTAATCAGGAGCATGAGAGACTTTTAGGCAGCTATATCATGGATGAGTTCTACATCTGTTTAATTGTTCAGATCCTTGGGAGTCATGACCCTCCTTCTCTCTCCCTTCTAAAAGGAGTGGTATCAGGTTCAGTCTCTGGATGTCAGCGCAGCTACATTGCTTTAACCTGGAAATGGCCCCATGCAATCCAGAGGATCAGTGACTCAAGAGGGGTCTCAGTGAGGAATCCAGCCATGGGAAGTGGGCAGTGCTGCTTCCCTGGGCCCATAAAAGCACTGGGCATCCCCAAGAGCAGAGCTGGAGGAGGAGGAAAGAGGAACCTTCCTCAGCCAGGTCAGGAGTAAATCTCTGACTCTTGGGTGTATGAGGGTTTAGCTTTTTACTGTATACTGTGCTAATTTACAATGTGTGACACTCCATATATGGGATGTGGTATTTCCCATCGTACCACACACCTGCCAACACTTAGCATCAATGGCCTTGTTGATTTCAGCCATCACAGTAGGTGTTCTACCACACTCTATGTTTGTATTTTCCAGAAGACTCACAGCACCGTCACAATGCATTCTGCCATTTGCGTAAGTTTCTTTTTCATATGCTTGTTTCTTACATTTTCCAACAAACTGTCTTGTTGGCTAATGTCTCACCTGCTTTGGATACCAGGTCTGTGTCCTGTAGATAAATGGTCCAGCATGCTTCCCTGTGCCTTTGTTCCTGCTTAATTATTCTTTCCATGAATCTATATTCTTATTTTATTATGTAGTCAAAAAAATGATTTCTTTTGTGCTTATTTCTTTATATGTGTCCCATTTGAGAGACAGTTGTTTACCTTAACCTTATAAAGAGAATTCCTATTTTTCATCTAGGTAGAACTTGAATTACTATCTTTCACACTTTGTCAGTGACTTTTCTCATTGCTACAGACAAATACTCGAGAAGAAACAACTTATGGGAGGAAGTATTTACTTTTGATCTGTAGCAGAATATTTCTCCCACTACTCTGTATAAAGCTCGGCGATTGGGCTGTATGAGGGGTAGGCGGAGTGAGGAGTTGGGAGGAGAAGGAAGAGGAGGGGCTAGGAAGAGGAGGAGTACTGGGGGAGAGAGGGAAGATGGCAGCAGAAATGCGGCGTGTCTCTAGCAGTCTAAGGTAGTTGTAATATCTAGGCTAAGTATCAGGTAACACCTCTGTTGTGTGGGAAAATTGTTAATTGAGCATTTATAAACATATAAGGTCTTTGGATAATAATTAAGCTTTAGAGTCTCATTTCTACTGGGTACCACATGGATGGCAGGTATTGTCTGGGATTCAGCTAAGCATTGTGGAGACAGCATGGGAGATCAGCAGAGCCATCTTCCACGTTGGTGTCTTGTGGGTGCCAGGGCCGGTGCATTTAGCTGGCATGAGCCTCGGTCGGAGTTGAGCAGTGGAGAGAACACGCAGCCTCCCTTGGCCTCAGGCCTTGTCTAGTTGGGTACATGGCGGAACATGGTGGCCCCATAACAAGAAGCCAGATTGGGTGCTGCCATTTTAAATATTATCCTCAACATTGATCATGGTGTTAGAGTGCAGCCGATCTTGGTGAAGGCTTGGCGGTAGGACCATGAGGCAGGAGCCCTCCATGTCCACTATCAGGAAGCAGCGAGGTAGACACTGGTTCTCGCCTCAATTTCTCCCTTTTCCATTTTGTAAAATTTGGTCTGGGCCTCCAAGCCAAGGCATAGAATGTTCCCCACTTGGGACAGTGTAACCCATGTTCAGAGCGGGTCTTTCTCCTTCAGTTAAGCTGCACTGGAAACATTCTCACAGACATGCCTGGGGGTGTTCTCAGTCAACTTGGCAGACAAGATTAACTCTCATAAACGCATTCGTAATTTCCCTGAACCTGATTTCAGATATAAGACAGGAACAAAGATATTACTTTCTGTGTAGATATTTGACTCAGATCATTAGGGAAAAGGCCATCCTTTAGCCAGCGTGCTGCTGTGCTAGCTTCAGCACAAATCAAATGCATTTTATTTTGGAATTGATTTGCTAACATGCCAAAAAATAATTAAAAATGTATATACATATATTTAATGTTATCTCCCTGTGTCTGTCTTACAGTGCCCTTACTTCAGTTTGGATTATAACTAACCTAATAAAGTTCTTTAAAATATCTTTTGTTTGCTTACTCTCTGGAACAATTGTATGTGATCATGTAATATGTTTATTAAACTCTGGAAAACATTTACTAATGGAATCATCCAGGCTTGAGTCACCTTGAGGTTTTCTTAGATTAAAAAAAAAAAAGATCAAATTTAATAGATGTTGAATGCTTACAGAATTCCTACCGGTATGTCTCCACTTTCTGTGAACTATTTTTATAAATTATTAAGTCTCGGCGTGAAGTTGTGATATCATCTCATTTTGGACACAATAAGATCTATAATAACAGATCCAATTCCTAATACAGGGATGGAGAGAGATGGCCCAGTGGTTAAGAGTTAATATCGCTCTTCCAGGAAACCTGATTTC